AGCATACATTTATTTGTGATCCAATGATTAGGTCGTTAATCTTAAGTCTATTTTATTTGTTTAGGTTATCCCAGCTCCTTTGCTGTTCATCATGGTATTATTGTATATATTGTTCGTATATAGTCTTAAATGGTCGTTGGAATGATGATTTCCATTTCAAAGTCCTACGCTCTATTTAATATAACCTCAATATCAACAGTATTTGCATCTACCCTTAATATATTGTATTCTTTTATCTCGGTTTTTATTTTTATTTTGTCTACATATTTATTTATATACTGATTGAATTACGAGCTTGATTCCTGCCGTTTGGGATCATCCTGTTACTAGTAATATGACTATACTATATTCTATTATTCTGGTGTTGATCGATGTGTGGTCTATCCTGCTCCCTGAAACTTTGAAAGTTTGACTATATGGCATGCCGTTGTTGAATCTAATGTTATATCGAATTATTATGTCTATCGCTGTTGTATCTAAAATTATTAGTATAGATATTACTATTATATCTTTGACTGAATCTTGGGTACTCTTTATTGAATGGTTTGAATGCCTTCTCAAATCTCGTTCTTTTTAATAGTTTTAATTTTTTTTGTTTTGAAATTTGGGAATATAGTTGTTTTAACGATTGCCGTAGTTAATTAACTTCAGAGTATCAACGGTGTGTTATTTATTTCCATATTAAGATTTCTTGATATTCATATTTTCTACATTGCCTCACTCTCACATTGTGACTGATCGCCTATGGGTGTCTCCTCTATTATAGATATTATTTTTACCTCAATTAACACCTGTTAGACCGAGTTTGCTAACTCCAAGGACTCATCAACTGTAATATTATTCTTAAGCTTCATCTTAATAATGTGGCAATTTTTTATTTCTTAATGACCCTGTGGTCTAGATTGCATTTCCTACTTAACTGGAGCTGCCTTATAAAATTCGGCAATCTTGGCTCTTCACATCTGTGTGAGAGGATGTCATCTAAGAAATTTTATAAGCCATCTGGGGTCATCGAACTTAATATCCGTGCACAATGCTTCGATCTTAAGGATTCATCGCCTGACATGCTGAAATGAGGCAGATCTCTTGGCGTCATATTTTACACTGTCTTTAAAATCATTTTACACATTATTAATATAAACATTAACACTAGTAGTATAGGGGGATTTGAGTCTTTAATGCCTGAACTGTCATTAGTTTGTATTTTTATTTATTTATTTATAATATTATATTACCAGTAGAATATATCGCATAATATTAAAATTAATATATAATATATGATATAAATATTTAGTGTAGATGTATTTGCGAGGACGGTGTCGATTTTGTTATTGTCCCATTTTAGCAGCGTCTACATGAGAGGGAGGGGTAGGAACAGTTTGCATCCTATTTTTGGGGATAGGCTCTTTAATGGGGGTAGGATAAATTTTTTGGGGGGTTATCTATTAAACTTTTAGATGAAATAGGAGAAAATTTATTGCTGTAAAAATTAATACTTTTATTATAGAATTATTATAATACAATCGACCAAATCTATATATTGCAAACAATCATACACATTGTTTTCCAAATAAAACTTACTAGGTTTAGATATTTCAGCAAGCTCATAATGCCATATTAATTAATTCATTGTAAATAATGGAGGTTTTAATTGAATTTATTATCAAAAAAAAAAATTCTATATATTCACAAAATATCGACAGTTGGTAGTAGAGATAGATTAATTTAAGTTATCCTAGATAAATTCTGTATATTCACAAAATATCGACAGTTGGTAGTAGAGATAGATTAATTTAAGTTATCCTAGATAAATTATCTGAAAAGAGTATCAATAAATTAAAAAGGTGAAAATAATAATAGACAAACACCGCCGCCGAAGTCGGCAAAATTTTTAGGGGGTAGGCAAAGGTTTTTGAAGGGGGTTTGCATCCATTGAAAATCCTGTCATGTAGACGCTGCATTTTAGGCGTAACCAAGATTTTCCTAAGGGGGGGGAGGAAGAATTAAAAATTTTCTGGGGCTTCCCCCCAAACCCTATTTTGTAAGGGCTTCGGCTTGCTTTTGCCCGGCCTTCGGCTGGGTTACCTTAGTCTATATATAGTCATAAAATATTTTTACAATATAGGAGGTAATTTTTAATTAAAAAAATAAGCCTGGAACAAATATGAAATATATTTTTATTAGATATAAAATATAATAAATTACTTGTATATACATTAATATCAAATGGTAATAATCTATTCCAAACAAGTATAAGAAATTTATTTATAAAAAGTAAGTAGACATAGTTGATATTCCTCTATTATATAGAATTGGTTACAAAATACTAGGTAAAGTTCCATTTTTACAGAAATATTTGACAGTTAGAGAATATATTACAGTTAATATTTTAGCAAATTTTACTAATCAATGCTCTTGATAATAAATATAGCAACACTCCATCTATTTATTTTAAATAAAAATTGATATTAAAAATTAATCTTCATATTATTCATCCCACAATGTCTTTAAAGGATATTTTCTGATGTCCTTATCAATATTTTATAGTTTTCTGTAAAATATATAATTAGCTATATTGGTAAAAATTACTTGATTGTCATATGATAATTGATAAAATTAGATATACTGTAAATCTACGGCATATAATATTCCACTGTTTGTATTGTGCTTTAATTTTTTTATTTAATTTATGATTTAATTTTATCAATAGTTTATAATTATATTTTACTTTTATTAAGATAAATAAATTAAAATTACTCACTTTATAAAAAATTATATTTGATATATTATATTATTTAGTGATTTTATTGATCTATTATTATTAATAATTAAAATACATTACACTTTTGTCTTAAAACTTATCTTTGGCTTACATTCCATTTATTAAAAAACATTTTTGGTTCACTTTATATATACAAATGCTTTTTTCCAAAAATGTATAAATTATGATGAATAGTTTTATAAAAAAATATCAACTTTTACATTCTTTCTTTCAAATTATTGTTTAAGATATATGCATACATTTTTGGGGGGATATTTTCTATTAGCTTAAAATGATATTCACGAAAAGTGATATATTTCTGAAGGGGGGGGGATTCCCCTTGCCTACCCCCTGGCCTATGTGTCCCATATAACTACGCTACTATGTAATCACCTTTAAAATCGCATCTTTTGCTCGTCGTGGAAATCCACGTATATATCCCATCGTCTATCCTCCTTGTATACATTGTATCTTCTACGCTTATATTGTGAAGAAAGCATGCAAAGTTTAATATCGTTAAAAAAATTTGATTATATATCAATAATGCGACATGTTTACTTTACAAATAAAATATAACATAACATAATGTAGAATATGCAATAAAATATATATATATGTATATATTTGTAATTTTAAATGTAATTTAATATATATAATCTTATAAATGTCTTATTGATATAAAATTATAGAATAATTAACATTTAAATGATAATTTGGCCACATGCTATTTATTGGGGTAATAGTTCCATAAATATCATCAGTATAATTTAAATGAGTAAAGAAATAATATTGTCCAGTCGTATTTATTTTAAATTTAATAATATATCTTTAATTTCAAAAAAATTAAGTATTTATGACAAAAGTAAAAATTAAATTAATCAACATAAATTAAAAGTAACTTTTGAATAGAAAATTTTAAATACACCGTATATCATTAAAATAAAGATGATTTAAGTTACGCCGATAGAAAAAACAAATTATGAAAATATAAAAGTTAATTTAAAGTAAAATAAAATAGAAGTTCAAATACAAGATTAATTTGTAATACAATGCCATGAAGGGTACAAAATTAAATAATAAGTGATATCAAGAACTATTAGACATCGTAATAAAACATAAATATAGGGTTCTCCAGCATCTATATGAGGAAAAGAAAGGGAACAACATTCCTTCTTAGATTCACTTTTTACCCCAAAAATAATTTTAATTCTGAAATAACGGGGATTTAGATATCGGTATATTGGTTGTAGTATCATTCACGGGAAGAGTATCTGAAGGATCTTCTAACCCTTAATATCTGGTAAGGGTCATGATTAACTCGATATAAATTTCACTAAACCACAAATATAATCTAAAATTGACTTATATAAAATACAATTAATTACAACTATAAATAGATTAAAACTCGACATCTTAACCGTAAAAATAATGATTTATATAAAACGCTATAAATTAATTAATAAATTTTGTAAACTAAAAATGTAAGATTAAGATAAACATAAAAATCAATCCCTTTTATAGGGAAAATTAAAAGCGCAATTATAAATTAAAATAAAATTGACGCAAAGTGAAAAAAAAACGTTGCGATGAGTAGTTATGTTAGTTTTATCTTACATAATTGGGGATAAAACCAACACCCGCTACTTTTCGGAACTCTAATACCTCCTAATTTAGGATGATATCCGGGACCTAACTATGCAATTTATAATAGTGGAATCCTTACTAAGTAATCCAAACCAAAAGTATGAAAAACTCCTGATTAAAAGAAAATACAAAAACCATAAGTGTAATTAAATCAAACAAAAGAGGGACTTCAAAAAAAACTTTATTATTTTTTTTGTATCTGAGACGAAAAAAGTTGGGCAAAAAAAACTATTTTTAATTTATATATATTTAAAGCTAAACTTGGGCTAAACAAAAGAGGGATAAAAAAGAAACTAGTTTAAAATTATAAGGGAAACTTAATTTAACAAATTTCTACCTACCCGGAAGCTTGTCACTTGCCTTCTGAAATATATGTAAGGCAAAATTTTCCTAACCCTTCCTTCTCAATATATTAGGCATTGAGGCTACCAGTTAATTGTTTTAAAGGAAAACATGACCGGCGCTCGAAAGCCTTAACCCAAAATAGTGATGATTTACCCCATGAATTATAATAACTTTTTTATGAATAGTTAATATAAGATTCATAAACTAACCTTTGATAGAATATAAATAATATATTTGTAAAATTAAATTTATATAGTGGATTAACTTATTAACACATGTTCAAAAACTAAATGCAGGCTGATATTTTTGAAAGTAAATATTTTTTATAGAGTTATTAATTTATATTATAGATTATAAGGATCTCTTGGATCCTAATTTTAACATACAGAAATACATTAATATATTTATGAAAAATGGTGATTTTAATGAACAGATTGAAAATTTGTCTATAATAATTAATCAACTTGATAAGAAGTTGCATGAAAAGGTTAATATTTTAGATTCTTGTTTAAAATTCTTTAATAGATAGGGGATCATTATCATGTTTTGTTATCTCAAGCCTTAAAAATTAATGATATAGAAAAGGATTTTGAAAAAATCAAACAAAGAGTTTATGCATTAAAAGAACTAAATGATAAGTTTTTGATCATAGCTTAATAATATAATTAAAATGTTATAGGGTTAAAAGTAAAATATATGAACCATATAAAAGCATCCAGTTGTATACAAAGCAATTGACAAACATCCAAGTAAACCAAAAATGTTGTATTTGCGATTTATATTGATTATACAGGCAACATGTGATCTTTTACGTTCTTATTCAAGATATAGTAGTCTGTATAAAAAGTTACAGCAAATAATGAATGAAAACACCAAAGAAATTATAAAGGCTGCATATAACATTAAAGAGCTAGGTATTTTTATATAATTATTAAATTAATCACAATAATAAAGATTTATTGCTTAATAATACGCCTAACTTAGTTGGGATAGATGATATAAATTTGCAAGTTTTTGAAGTTGAAAAATATAAGAAAGAAATTATATTAAAGGCTTATGACTTATTGATGCATGGACTGGATAATCAAGTTTTTAGCCACAAATGAAGCTAATTTTTTTCTCAAAATAATTCATAGAATCAAGTTCAAACTAGTACTGCTTTACAAGTATATCACCAGCTGGGACAGTTTCATTCCTTAATAGAACAAGATATTATGGATAAAATATTTTGTGGTGATTTTAAGGTGGCATTGTCAGAATGTTTTGGAATGAAAGGGAATCAATCTGAAAATAACATTAATGATTACAAAAAATTTAATGAAAGTTAGATGATAAAACATTTTGTCCTTTTTATTATTTATTAGAGAATGCTGAGAAGACTAGATTGTATGGGTCCAATGGGAAGATTTTTAACCCATAAACAAAATTTTGAACTACCTGCCCAGGATTTTTAAGAATAACATACCTGCATATTCATTAATCTAAAAATTTTGTTTTACCCCTCCACCCACCAAATTGTTAAAATTTTTGACACTCTTGCCTCTAAGCTCATAATATGGATAGGTTAAAATTCCACCCATTACAGACCTCTATTGCTGTGGGTCTATTAAGGCTTCCTCAAATTAATTTTTAAGTGCACTTAGCACCATACCAATCATTTATCATAATTTTGCTTCCACTAAAAAAATTTTAAATATTTTTCTAAAACATATAAATTTTTAAAGAATTCTATTTCAAAATAATATAAAATAATATGCAAAATCAAAGATGGTAACTTTAGTAAAACAGAATCCCAATCTGAGATTAAGGGCTTATTCTGGTTAAGATGGGATAGGCTCTTGAACGAAATCCTCTACAAAACCTTGCTTAAAGCCTCGCATTTGCAAATTGTTTTGTCTAAGAAAAAATCAGTTCTTGTGGATAAAAGTCGCGCCAAGAATAACGAACAACACATGGAAACACTCTATTACCTCAAGAACTTTTACGAGGTTTATGGATTGATTTTTTTTTAAAAAAATTTTAATATATATCTATCCTACATATCACTATTTTATCTAAGATTACATTATTTTGGTCAAATTTATATGTAAACTAATGGTTTGCTTACTTGGGTAAAATATTTATTTTTAAAATAATATAAAAAATGGCTTTATTTATTAATACTTTTTAATGTTCATTTTTAACAAAAACTTTTATTTTGTTTCATGTTTTTTTTAGCTTTTCTTATATAATATATTTTGTGTTAAAATTAACTTTAGATTTTGGGAAATATTATACATTAATTATTTATTTTAAAATTTTGTCATTTACATTTCCTAGAAAAGGCGTGTGAACGAACACGAACTAATAGAAGCATTCCTAACCAAGTTAGAAGCTATAATGAAGGAAGAAATTGAATCGAAGGCCGCCAATTTCGGTAGCAGAAAAATTGGTCCAAGCCATCAAACCTTCGCCCTTTTCAAGCAGATTTGCGAATGGGAGTATCCTAAACTGCTTAGATATGTGACCGACACTAGGAATAGAATTCTCAATTCCAAGTTTATATCTTTATTATAAAGTTTAAAAACTTATAAATTGAAGTAAAAGAATATTCAAAGTTTCAACCTTTTGTTCTTTATCTAATAAGATAATAAAATTAATATAATAGAAGGAAAAAAGTTGATTGATATTTTAATTATCTAAGATTTTCTGTAATTGTTTCTCAAAAATAATTTGATATAACAAAATATACTATAATATCCCATTTAAGTCCAATCACGAATCTATGTAAAGGTGATTCCTCTCAAAATTATTCGGATGATTCCGAGCAAGATATGCCGGATATATTGGACGATGTCACGTACCTCACAACTTATAACCATAGTAATTCTAGAAATAACGAGACTACAAAAATTTTGAATGGTAATAACAAGTATAGCACAGCATGCAACGCTAATAACAATGGTTTACGCCTGAAGATCGTTAATTTGTTTCAAGAAGTCCTGTCAGAAGCTTTTTCTAAAGGATATTTATCCAAGTACAATTAATATAATTTTAATTTATAAAGTAGAAGCCCGCAGACACATGTACAAGCCTAATTTAAAATTCCGAATTGGCTAGGCTTGGATTTTAAAAAAGAAATTGATTTTATGAGTCTACAAGACTTTAAAACAAATAATTAAAATTTATTAAGTTTTTTTTATACATTTATTTTCGATTGTAATTTTGGAGTAAGCAAGACATGATTCACTTTTTAAATAGATACTAATCATTTTACTTGTATATCGAAAGGTAATCCAATGTTATTCGGCTAGTTTTGCTTAACACGGATACCTTCGTTTGTATTTTGTTAAACGTCATAGCTGAAGTATTGGAGCCGATTGCTCAAAGCACCGAACCGATATCTAATAATTTTATTCTCTCTACTATATTCTATCTCCGCTGCAAGATTTATATTTCGAAAGTCTAAAAATATACTGTTCAGCATCTAATTCTCGGTCACCCATATTTTATTTCATGCTTAAATTTTCAAAAAAAAAAATTTAGATATCATTATTTTTTTTTATAATTTATAGATAATATTGTTAGTTGTATATAAGTGCAGAATTTTATGAATTTTCATAATCTGGAAGTATTAACATTTAAAAAAATTATCACGCTTCTTAAATGCTCAGCCGCCATGTTGCTTGTGTCAAAAATGCTCAGTCACCTTTAATTTTTTCATATTTTTATAAATTATATTATCATCTTTTTTATTGCATGGTTTTATTCTTAGATAAACCATTTTTTAATATAAATTGCAATTTTAATGGTCTCCAAGAAACAACACCTGATGAAATTCTACCTCTTAATGTTCAACATCACCTGAAAGGAATATTAGCAAAAAAATTTTTAAATATTAGTCATTTATAAAATTGGATACTACTTCAGTAGAAAATTTTGTTTACAAACGAGTACTTTATCATGAATTTTCTAAATTTGTTTAGAGACTTTATATAATTTGATTAGGCTAAGAAAGTGTACCCCAAAGGTTTTTTTTTACAAAGTATTACATTGCAAATGTGTTCAATATTCTTTTAACCGTGGGTAACTTTTACCCACACACAAAAAATACATTATAAAATTTTTTTTAGTAATAATTAAGTACCTCTACTAAAAAAAAAGCTTGGAGCTTTCAACCATTTTTTGGAGAGTGGCTTTGAAATTTAATTCTTAATTCAGTTTATACTCGGAGGGCTTTAATTCATTTGGTAGTTTTTTTGATAACACCCTACTCTATTATTATTTATTTATATTTTAAGTTCGAAAATAATTTAACTAACTTCTTATGACTGGAACTAGTGTTGTTAAACAGTTCGATTTCACCAATTATATTATGCAAGCCTCGATTTTGTTAATTGATGTCCAAACCTTTCTGTCATCTACGAGCAAAACTTCCAAGTTTTCGTACAATTTTTTGGCTGAAATATTGGATTAGCCGTTTAACAACACTAACTGGAGCCAAAAATTAATAATAATCTTCAAATTATACATCCTTTTGAAGCATTGTAAATAAATGAGTTGTTTTATATAATGTTTCAGGTGTTTATCTCGCCTCTTTGACCCAATAAATGTCTTATTTTCTTCCGCCACTCACTGCTTCCCCAATGTATCCGACGTAGAAAATCTAATCAAGGTTATGACAAACGAACTCACCATTGTCAGATTCGATCAGAATTTGAGCTTGAACGTAGCTAAGAATATCAATAAAGCATTGAGGTTTTTCATATATATTTTTTAAAAACAATTAAAGGCCTGGGTTTAAAAAAAATATTGATTTTGTTTAAAAGTCAAAAATATCCTCCCCCTCCAACTCACTTCCATAATTAAGAGAGTTCCTTTTTATAAAACCTTGAGAATTTGTATTTTTTTAAAGTTATAATTCCATTCTATATTCGCATATAACATCGAAACCTGAGGCTAATTCAGCTTCAAAACTTCTTTTCCAGTTGGCCTGAAATCCTGCATGAGTCGGATAACTCTACGCTCTTATGGGCTGGGACTGGGAGACCATTATCATTGAACCGAAGCCGACATTTGACCCACTAATAATTTAGCTTGATTAAAATTATTTTTAAAAAATTAGTGATCCGTCAAATTAATTCTAAACATAGGCAATCTCCTGAAGATGTTTTTATTCGAGTAGGAACCTGTTTTAAAATACAAAAAATTATAATTTTTGTTTTGAAGATTTTTAGGGTTTTTAATAATATTTTCTTAATATAATCATGGTTATGTATAATATATAACTATTTATAATTAGACTTGTATTGGTTAAATGCGAACAAATGATTGATAATAGCTCGGCCGCTTACAAAGTGAAGAAATTTGAAAATTTATATAATTTTATTTTTAAATCAATCATACTTTGCTAATAAAATTTGTTTACCCCTGACTGATATATTGGGGCATATTAACACCCCACAAATTTTTGAATTGATACTACAAATAAATCTGTCGATATTTTGATCTGTTTTTTTTTCAGTCATCTATTTTATTCTAAATTACTTTTCTAAAAATCTTGCTTAAATATTTCTTAAAAAATAAATATATTTTTTGGGGCTGAAAATTCACATTTTAACTTATAATTTAAAAAAAAACATTATTATTTTAAAACATGTTACTAATATTTAAATAAAAATTTTGATTTTTACGCATGTTTTAGATGGCGTCGAAAACCCGTTTCAAAATTTTACGGAAACCTACTTTTATTAATATTTTAATGCATTATCAAACAAATTATTTGAACAGGTAACGACTCAACCTAACAATATTCAAAAGAACAACGCCAATATAGGGGTTCTGCTGTATCACTTGAGATATTTTGCAGAAACTCGATTGGTTCCTCTCATGAAAGATATCAAGTATATAAACTATTCAAAAATTTTTTTTATCTTAAATCAGTTATGTCAAGAATTTGTGTTTTAAATATAATTATATTTTCTTTAAATAGTATGAATCACTTTTTGATAACTTTTAAATTAGGAATGTGCCAAACATTTTTTATATAAGATTTGGCATCTCTTTTTATAATATAAGAAAGCCCGTCGATATTTTTAAATTGGTGGGTACAATATATCAGGGATGCGAACTCTAAACCCAAACCCTCATGTTTTTGCTAAACTAAAACCCAAACCTCAACCCTTTTTAAAAGTTGAGAGCTTCACAAGTTATCAAAAAAAAATATTAAAATATTTTTAAAATAATAAATTCTATAAAAAAATCGTGAAAAATAAATAAAAAGAGATTTTTTAATTGAATCTCAATTTTCGTCCTTTTTTAAAAAAGTTTTTAGTTTTTTTGCATCCTTTTTATAGTTAAAATTTTATTATAAATGGTAATTTTTAATATGCTAATAATATAATAGAAATAGGTTGCATATCTTATTTTTATATCAATTTTAGAACGTATAATATTATGGATAAAACATAAAATCAAGCAGGAAAATAAAATTCAATTTTAGAACGTATAATATTATGGATAAAAACATAGAATCAAGCAAGGAAAATAAAATTCAATATTTCTAGATATTCATTTTTTAAATTATATTTAATTAAAGTATAAGCAATTATGTATTGCAGTTGTGCCGTTGAGAATAAATCCGAGACCGTCATGAATAATTTAACGTTATTAATTCAAAATAAAAAAAAACTAACTCCTCCTATTTTATAGATGAAAATACGAAAAATTATTTTATAGATGAAAATACGATAAATAAAAAATAATTCTTACAAATCCGAATAACATGACTCATGTTAGTCTTACAATCCAAAAACTATCAATGCGCTAAGGTTAACAAACCGTATTATTGCGCATGATATAAATACATATAATCAATTTACATAAAAAACAAAATATATACCTATACAATAATTTAAAAAAACGCCTATTATGACATTATGTAAATATTTAAATATAAAAATTGTCAGTAATTTGGCATGTTTAATTTTATTTTTTGAGTACCTTTTGGATTAAATATTATAAAAAATAAAAATGATTGTAAAGATAAGAGTTATTTTAAGTTTTTGCTAGTAAATTATGCCTATATGGAGTAGAATATAAAAAAAATCATGTTATTTTATTAATAATATTGAGTCAATATTTCTTTATGCTCTCCAAACCCTGAGTCCTAACCCTTTTTAAAATTTCTCTGAACCCGGACCCTATTTTGTCGAAGAGTTCACATCCTTGCATTATATTTACATGGCCGATTAAAACTCAATTTGAGATATAGTTAAACTTTCAATTTTATATATATAAGCGACGAGGCTTCGATAGAAACTTCTTCCATATACCTCGACTGCCTCAGGATAATCGTGAAAGAGTTACCCGATCTTCTAATCAATTCAGTACTAAAACCGTATTTTAGCGCGGTTGAAACAACGCTGGAAGATATATTGCTCACCATGCACAGAGAGGATTTTGTCAGTACTACACCTTCGGATTCGCAAGTATATCTATTTAGTGTAATTCAAATGTCAGTTAGGTTTTAGATCAAAACCGAACCGATTTATGAACAGGTTTCTTTGGGTTTTAGATTTGCTTCGCACTAAATCCCTAAATTTATTAGTTACTACAGTTTTTTTTTTAAAAAATTGAGAGCATTTATATTGTTTATTGTAAAATCGGAGGGGGGGGGCGATGAAATTGTAAAAAAGAAATAAGTTTGTTTTAGAAAGTGTTCAACCGTTATTATAGATTATCTGATATTTTTAAGTAAAATATTTGATACTTTCTTGGATAAATATAGATGTTATGATTAAATATATTTTAAGGATTTAAATTTAGGCTATAAAATTTTCATTAATTATCTTATATATAATCATCTTTTTTAATACTTTAAACTTATTCAATGTAAGACATATGGATCTTTTTATTATTTATCCGTTACATATTAAAAAAAATAATATGTACAAATTTAATTAATATCTTTCAGAACTCTACTTTTCTACTCTCCCCTCCTTCTCCATATATGAAAGAATTTATCGATTTTGCGAAAACCTTCAAACGAAACGTTTTAAATACTCTTTTTGGGAATTTTGATTTTGGATTGAATACCTTTGTATCTACGCAGTATCCTACTATTTCTAATGCTCAACACAGTAGTTTTGAAGAAAGCGATATCGATATAGAAGTCGAATATTATGGTAAAATATGATTTTTTTTTAAATAAAATAAACAGTCATGTTAGTGTAACATTGATATATTCTATAATTTGTTTAAGATATTTTAAATGTCAATACATTTTTCTTTTACATAGCTTATAAGCTAAAAATTGAATTCAATATTTAAAAAAAGGCCCATTGCGGAAACATTTTTTGAGCAAGCATTCATCGGTCTTGTTCAATCTTGGTAAATCCGATAGGACCGGGCCTTAGCTTTTATTAAGATTAAGCGTGCAGTAACATTTTTTTAGGCATGTTTACATTTTTATCTAATTGAATAAAAAATATTTTGGGCATGTTGAGCTCTCTTTTTCTCCTTTAAAGTGACGTCAGTGTTTTTAAGAGTTTTTTTTGAAAGAAAAAAAGAAAGAGTCATTGAAAGTATAATCTATAATTCTTCCTTATATTATATATTTTTTTAAATTTCAAATTAGCGCATACCAAAGAATCCGAATCTAAAGCGAATCCATTTTACAGCCTAGTTTTAAAGTTATTTATCACTCACACCTTATTACCTACGATACGCAATGCCTTATATCAAATGTGCTTGATTAGGCCCCTGAGTGATGACGGCAAAAGAAAAATGATATCTGATTCTGCACATTTTCAATCAGTCTTTGGTTCCATATTCCTGCCTACCCATTATCAAAATAAAAATAAGGAATATAAAGTTAAAAGAGGAGTGGAATTCATTAAATTAGATAACGAAATCGATAATGTATACGAGCGTCTTTTGGTTTGGGGCGAAAATGGACCCAGTTTGGTTCAAGAGGATAATCTTTCGAATACTTTTGAAGTAAAAATAGAAATTAAACCAGATATTTTAAGCGCTTACGAATGGTTTACTTGCGAAATTTTGATTCTGATAGGTGATAATACTAATTTTACAACAAACCCTGTATCAATTTACCCGTTTTTAGCTAAAAAAATTGATACGATCTCAACATGTTTCGGGCAGCATTCATCCCTCGCTTATTATAAATGTGTATTCGATTATCTAATTCCTTTGTCACATCATATCTTTTCATTTTTTGATTCTAGAAAGGGCGAAGAATTTACCGTTATTATCAATTCATTATTATCGTCTCCATATCTTAAACTCAATTTTTCGGGTCCCGCAGAATATTGGCGCATATGGCTTAAGCCTAAAATTTCCATTCAATTACTTTCCGAAATTTGTGCTACAAATAAGAGTAATAAAGCAGCTAGTGATGATGACAAAACCTCTGCCAAAAAGGCTATAGAAATGATTAGAGATTTGCACCAATCATGTTTTAATGACTACTCCATGAGTATTATTAAAGAAAAGAGGAAATCTTTTCATCCGGCTTACCCTCTAGCCACCAAAATTTTGGAAGCTCTCTCCGTTTCTTAACTTTAAATGCAAAACTGGGGAAAAGGGAATATTGATTTTACATTTATATTTTTTATTGTTGAATTCATCATACGTGGAGTGGAATATTATTTATTTGTTTAAATATCCTAATGGCATTAATTGATTTTATGATTTGAAGTAATGCATTTAATTTATAATTATATGTATATAATTATTAACTAATCAAATAAATTTAAATTTGCTCACTACCCATTTTAAATCTAGATATCTAAGTTTTATATCTGAGAAATTTTTCAATTTCTATCAAACTTATAAATAATAAGATTATTTTGATAAATCTTTGTTTACAAATTTTAAATTATAATGTAATCTCTTCATATATTTAGAATAACACATATTATCACTACTCTTACTACAAACTATCATAGAATTGTGAATGTAAAGGAGTTATTTTTAGAATATGAATTAAATTAAAACCCTGCCCATCATTTACGATGAATGCATTTAACATGAATATGAGTTTGCTGATAATATTATATTAGGTTTATATTAAAAGTATTTAAAAAAACATAACAACAATATATTTTGCCCTATTTCTAGAAATGTAATTGATAACCCCCCAATAAATTTGCCTATTCCCTCTCTTCAAAAAATTTGGAAGCAATGCCCTCCCCCCACCTATGTAGACGCTGTGTTTATCTTTGTTAATTGAGGGAAAATAGGATGGAGAGAGGAAATGGGAGGTCAATTTTTAAATATTATTACTCTAAAATATTTGAGCACATTATTAAGTTTTATCTGAAAAAAAATAATAGGTGAAAAGTATTTTTTGTTTATTATAAAGAATAAGATGCAAAAATTTTTGCTAATTTTGTTAAAAGCTAACAATAAAATAATCTCACTTTTTATAAACAAATTATAAATTCAACAAAGATATTCCTTGGAAAAATGACAAATGTCATAATCGGTATTTTTAGATAGACATGATTTTTTTATCAGGCAACTTGTAAAAATATGTATTTTTAACAGATTAAATTAAAATTTCAAAGAAGATATACCATAAAAGTGACAATTGTTATAATCGTGATATTTAAAGTTTTTGAATTTTTTTGATGTTTATAATAAATATTTATACCTGTTTGCGTCAAAAAATTTAAGAAATAACGAATATAACAATTGTCACTTTAAAATATTATCCTTAAAAAAATTCATAAAAAAAGTATAATATATAAATATAAATTTTAAAAAATTTTATAGAAAAATACACATTTAATATACATGAAAAAGGGATAATTTTACAAAAAATATCAAAGATTTCGCCCTAAAGATTGTATAAAAATCACAAAAAATTCCTCAAAAAATAAAATTCTGATCAAAATATGTTAAAAATCTTTTTAAACTCCAACAATTTTTTTGCTTAAAATTTTTGGGGACAAAATCACTAAAAAATGTAAGAAATAAAATATATATTGTTAAAAAAAAATCAAATAAATATATCAATTTTCTTACCATAATCAGGTATAATTAATTTCATATATTTAAATATAAATAAAAAATATTAAGATTAGTATAAAAATAAAATAAAAATAATATATATAAATAATTTTAATAAAAGAATAGTAAAATAATTATGTGGAGCGAGGGATCCAAACCGAAACGAATATCGGTTCAGTTTCAGGTTCGGATAAAAATAGCGGTTCAAGGTTCAGGTTCGGTTCGCAAAAAATAAAAATAACGGTTCGGTTCGAACCTCAAAAACCGGTTTAAACACTTTTTAATTCAAACCTACATTAGGATTATGTATAAGGAAAATTTTATTTTTTATTTCATAATTAAAATAAAAACCTTCATTTTTATTAATTGCACATTATAAAATAATGTGTAATTTATAAATATATCAATGAATTTTAATATGAAAAATTACTTAAAATTTTTTTATTAATATATTTTCAAAATTCCTCTCACTCAAATTATATATATAGGGAGATAATTTAAATTTAATTATTGAAAAACATCTTTCCTCACATATTTGGGTAGCTGGCATTGCCAGTATGATATCAGATTTAATGTGTCATTTATAATACTATATGTAAATAATTTATATATTAGATTTAATTTTTTTCTATGCATTATAATTTATAAGCTTAAAATATTTAAAAAATGTTGTAAAATGGCAATATACTAAAGTTTATAAAAATTATGACTGATGTTTATCGATTAAATATGATTGATAATAATTTTAAAATAATTTAAATTTTTCCAATATACTAATAGTAATAACTTACACATTATTTTATAAGCATAAAATTATGAGACTCTAACCGGTTCAGAGGCATTTTAGCGGTTCGGTTCAGGTTCGGATAGAATTTTTTTAGAGGTTTAGGTTCGATAAAAAATACCGGTTTTTAGCAGTTAACGGTTTGGTTAAGGTTTGGTTTGTATCCATTTTTGGAGCCAATTTATACATGTAAAGAAAAATATATATCAAAAATTATAATTTACATACAAAACTAAAATAATTGAGCCGTATAAGCGAGCTATTCGACTCGACTCATAATCGTTTTTGACAAGAAACTTGGTTCGAGTCGTAGCTAAATAGACTCGGCTTAGCCTTTTAACAACATACTAAAGACCTTGCATGAATCAACCGAAATCATTCACATTAATTTTATAAGTCATGATGGCAATTAATTCTTTTCCCCCAAGGGGTATCATATCTTCGTTGCCCAAGATGTTGGATTTAATAGCTTGAATAAGATATTATACGTTTCTTTATGCTTTACCCAAAATTGATTAGCATAGGCGTAGCCAGGAGGGGGCAAGATATACCGCATTCGGAAATTTACGTGTCCGCGGAAATATTATTTAAGCAAATGAAAAATTAATACCTAATAATGACTATAGTTCAAAATATTTAGAAAATCATTACATAAAAGAAATCAATATTTTTATATAAAAAATGTAATATTTCCAAGGCCTAGAATATAAGTATCTTATAGATTTCAAATAAAGTTTATGAGGAACAAAATTCTGTCTAGAACTATGGTCATTAGCATTTAATAGACAGTTCCATGTTTCAATAACTTTTTCTATTAATTTATTTGGTTAATGATAGAGGATGCAGCGCCAATACCCGTGGGGATATATAAAAATACATAATATTATTGCATATTTTGTATAATTCGCCGCGAATGTATTTTGTTTATTTTTCACATTAATAGAGACTGCTAAATTTGACCATGAAAAATTTTAATTTTCGGAAAGCCCCTGTGGCCTACAGACCACCGTTTTCCAATCCATTGGTTCTGGATTTGAATCTAGCACGGATCATGAATTTTTTATGATAAACTTGGTGGTTTTGTTCTTGGAGGATGATATATTGATATCGAACTTGAGACCACGAGATCCGTTTAGTATATAATAAATAATAAGTGGGTCTTATTGAAAAATATATATTTAGCAATGTCTATCAGGGCAGAAATTGTAAAATATAGATTCGGTCGGTACTGCCTTTAGCAATAAATATTATTAATCTTATTTCGTGGTAATATGAATATATATAAATTATAGGAATTATTTTGATTTATCACCTTTTATTTCATCGTCGTTCAGAATTCCCTAACCCAATTCTGCCGAATGTCGGACTGAAACGAAGCCCTTGTAACTCCTGTCAAAACGATTGGGATTCTGTCTGATTATTTAAAAATTAACATATTTTTATATAAAATCTTGTTAGAATTTTCGGTATTTGTAGATATTGGATAGTTTCGCATATTGTAATATTATCTATTTATTATATGAGCATCAAAATTATCTAGTTATGGCGAATCATATATGTTGAAAATAAATAATTCAAACAAATAATAATTTTAAATGTTACATTTCTAACGATCAAGTAATCGCGTCTGTTTATTTTTGTATATCACATAAAATTTCATTTAAGTTAACCGATAAAAAAAGATTTATATTCTCTATAAACAAAGGTAATTTTAATATCTTTTTAAATGTTTTAATAAATAAAAGAAAATAGATCATTTAAGTTGTTACTAAAATCAAAGAAAATAAATCATTTAAGTTGATACATGGATGAAAATAAAAGAAAGGTTTAACGCCTTAAAAAATAAAAGAAATATCAAAATAAGATAAATATAAAGATTATAAAATATTTCAAAAAATCCCATTGGTCTAAAACATAATTATGGAATTCAGTGTTCTTAGGAAATAATCAGTAGGATCTTATTTAATGCGTCGTATCCATCATACCCAAACCATCAACTTTCTTATAAATTACCTACAATATTCTCTCATATCATTCAAAAGAGGATAGGCTTAAAAGCCTGTGTTCTTAAACGGCTCGATTTTTAAAAATTGCTAACCCAATATTTTAAGTATAAAATTTAATGCAAGCTTCAAAATATCGTTAATAGATATCCAAATATTTCTGTAATATATGAGAATATTCTTCAGGCATTTGTAATATTTCTTGGCTAAAATATTTGGTTACCGGTTTATAAAAATCGAGCCGTGTAACAACACTATTAAAAGGATAAGATTTTGAAATGAAAAAATTTCAATATTAGAGTAAAATGTCTAATATTTGATTTATTCCCTTATATAATAATTTGCATATTTGATAGAATTAAAAAAGGAACAAAAATAAAAATTTTGAAATCTTCTTACAAATCATTTTTTTTTATTCTTTTATAATTTACCAATTATTTTATATACATAATCTATTTTTTTTTAATATAATAAAAGATATTACTATATAAAAATAGTAAATATCTTCTTATGAGATAAATATCTCGATAAAGATTGTTACAGAAGTAACTTTTTCGTTATAGACGAAGAAGAAAAAATATATTCAATTAATATATTTGTATTATATTAATAATTTACTAAAAATATATCTAAAGTAGAATTTTTATTTAATGTTAGTGTTTCAAAGCGCTAATGTCTCACAGTCTAATGCTTTCTCCTTTCGAACAGTTCTAAATTAAAATTGTAAATACACAACTGTTTACACTGCCTAATATAAAAATATAATTTAGTCGATTATTTTATCTATTCAATTTAGTGCAAATTATGGAACTTGACATACAAAATATACTTAATGCTATAAATACCCTCTATCACGGAAAGCAAGACAAAGAAAAGGCTTCTCAATATTTATCAAACTTGCAACATTCAGTAAATGTTTTATTTATACTTTTAATATATTTTTTAAAAGTCTAATGGTTGGGATATTGCCACAAAATTGTTGTTATTGAAACATTCTTTTGAGGCAAGTTATTTTGCTGCGCAAACACTAAAACAAAAGATACAAAACAATTTTAATGAGCTACCATTAGAATTATATAAAGTTTAATTAATTTTATATAAAACTTTATTTGTTTTGTAAAGCCACTACAAGATTCATTATATCAATATATTTATGAATATCATAATCAAAATAATATAGTGATTAATCAAGTTTAATTATATATACATATATATTATAAGTAAATTTATAAATAGTTGAGCCTTGCTATAGCAGATTTTATATTGAGAGCACCAAATATTGATGAGTCACTTTCAACACTATTTTTGAAGTAAAATAATTTAATTTTTAAACTATCCAACACATATATCAAGACTTAATGATAATAAATGGGACAAAGTGTTATTGGAAATTTTAACTGATTTGGTTGAAGAAGTACCAATTCTATTATATTAATATATAAATAAATTTAAATTTAGCTTCAAAGTAGGAGCTTGAAGTTAGGATCAAATAAGAAAACTGTAATAACTCAAAAATTATCGGCTTATTCAAAAGCAGTTTTGAATAAATTGGTTAGTTAAATTTATTTAATAATTATTTTGACAATTATTATAGTCATAACTTAATATATTAAGTTTAATATAATATGTAATATCGCTTAAATAGAGACCTGCCCATCAATGGGGCTACTAAAAGTTAAAGAAATTTTTTTTAAAGATCTAGACCTGTTTTTTAAATGGATTAAGAAATATCTTACTCTTAGTTTAACATAATGCCTTTTAAACTGTCTTTTGGATCATTGACTTATGATTATTCTTTAATAAATATTATTTTTTTATATTTATTACCTATTAAAATATATTTACATTTTTCCAACAATAACAACACCAAAAATAATATTTATTCTATCAACTCATTTTATTAACTATATTTATGTAAAATTTTAGTTTAAGAAGTATTAGTTCCCTGTAGATTCATGACAAAATAATTGCATGTTTCAATTTTCACATGGGTATATAATGATATCTAAATGAATTTATTGAATGAGAAAATAACTAATAAACAAAAAAATATGACCCTGGATATCTTTGAAACTTTCATAAGATTGTTTTGGGTCACTGGAAAGACAGCCACCCTTTCACCTTAGTCAGCTATTATTAAGGAATATATCAACTAGGTAGTGTTAGACTATATGACATTCAACCTGGAGGCTATTATAATAACAAATAATTATGTATATCAATTTATCAAATATTTGATTTGAATATTTAATTTTTATTACAAATTTAAAATAAAATATATTAAATTACCTCATGGTGTATTTCAATTTATCAAATATTAGATTTGATTTGAATATTTAATTTTTATTACAAATTTAAAATAAAATGTATTAAATTACCTCTAGATAAATGATGAACAGTATATGTAATTTATTCAAAAAATACAATATTATGCTAATTGCAAACAACTTATAAAAAATATTAACAACTTAAGAAAATATTAATTATATATATTATAGGATATTCTTTATCATTTATTGGTAGTTTTCCAGGTTTACCCAAGTAAGTCAGTTTCTCCTCTAATCCCTTTTTTCCACTTTTTACTGTCCTTAATGTCACATTTGTAAGATCCTTCACATGGCCATTATTATCATTTTCATTCACAATTGAAAAATACCATTATTTTGATAGAATAAATCATTTCTGAAAAATAATACCATGATATTTTTTTTTATATACTTCAACTTTGTCTCTCAATGAAAAGTTGATTACCAATACTTAATTCAAGTTTTTTTTAACATTATATTATTGTTGTTAAACGGCTCGATTTTTAAATATGACTAACCCAATATTTAGCCACAAAATATTATGCAAGGCTCGAGTTTTTGCTAATAGATGTTCAAATCTTTCTGCCATTTATGAGCAAAATTTTCAGTCTTACGAAATATTTTTTTACGAAAACATTGAGCTAGCTGTTTTTAAAAATCAAGTCGTTTAACAGCACTAATTTTATCCAAATGGCTGATCATTCCAAGCAAGATATGCTCCAACTAATTCATTTTACCATATATAAAATTTGGTGGATAATATAATAGAAAAATCTCAAGAGAAAATTTGCAGATGACTATCTTGTAGATTCGCTCTTTACAAGATTTATTCATTTTGATAACATCTATCTGTAATAAAAAAAAATTGAACTTCTTAACAGAAAATTATATATATCAGAAGTTGGATAAAATGTGAATATTTATTTAATATTTAATATATAAAAATAAACTTATAATTTCTTAAAATTGATGTCATTTAACATTTTGGGATTTTAAATACTTAATGGGACATTTAGACTTGTTTTTTTTAGCAGGACAGTTAACCTAAATAGGGACGTATATCAGCTCTAAATTATTTGATGAATGATAGAATTATTCATATACAATTTAAATTTCCAAATAAAAAATAATGTTCCCCACCTGATTTTTTTTTGGAAACTTTTCTTACTTTTTTGTAATTAATTATCTAATCCCATTCAATCAGGTAAAAAAAAAGAAATAGATATAAAGGATATCTAACATTAATCTGTTGTAGGACTCTAGTTCTTATTTAAATATTATGTAAAGATTGGTTTTCTTGTACTCCTAATAATTTTTCATAAGCAGTCACGTGATGAAGGTACAAGTTGATATCCATTACTGAATCACCTCAAAATCAGTATAAATGGAAGGATTTTAGATATATCTTCAAAGATCTAAAATATAATTAAATTGATATATTTAATTATATTATGATGATTTTATTTATGCATGAACATAGGATGAAATAACCATCAGAATTTGCTTACAGCCTCAAACTGATTCTGAATTATTTACCAAAGTGTTTAAATGCCTTGAGAGATGGATTGAAGCTCATATGATTGACATAGATATCAATTTGACACAATCTAAAGCATTTATGGCTTGCTTAGACAAATTGGTATATTATATAATTTTTAAAATATTTAATTAATATATGTATATACTTTTAATGCAATAGAGTTTAGAATCATTAAACGATACAGACATTAAAGTTCATGAAAAAGCGGCAGATGTTTTAGTCGCTACAATAATTGCCATTGAAGTAAATATATCATCTCGAGCTATTTTAAATGCACATTTTTTTTGCAACAATAATTTTAACATCAAATTTTTACTCGGTTTTAATTTTATAAATTTTTGCCATTAACTCAAGCAACAACACTTTTTAATTTGAAAAAGAGCTGATCTTTTTTAGAATGATACCCAAATTTAAAACTCGGTTTAAAATTTTAACAGGATCACAACCCTGATTTGAAAATTATTTTGACTAAGCAATAGAAGTGATAGATTAGGGTTAGGACTTGTTAATCTGCTAAGTTTTTTGACTAGGGTTGAGTTCAGTTCAAACCAACATTTCACTATTTAATGCTTTGTCCATAAAAAAATGTGCAAATGAAAATTTTGCTGGGACTTAAGTAAACAACCTAATAAAATTATTATATATCCCTTTTTTCAATAGGAACCATCTATGTACCCTGAGGTAAGCCAATACATAATCATCAGAATTTTACCTTTATCCAGTGCCTACTTTCAGTGCTTTCAACATGATGACGATATTAATGGCGATAAGTTTATATTAAATTATCACACACTTGAACTTATATTTACTGTTGAAAACCTATGTCATACATTACCCTTGTTATAAAAAAAGCCCTCTAATTTGCCGATTGCATGAATCTTATTAAAGTTTTTCACTAGTGGTTTATGCGTTAGATAATTCTCTGGCCAAGAGCGTTAAAAAGCAACCATTTAACCTTCTGTCCTTAAATACCTAGATACCTTCTCTCTTACACCCAATCTTTATAAATGAAACTCCTGTCTGAATTATTTCCAAAACTCAAACATCGTGCTAAGAAACTCACTTGTTCAATTCTCAAAAAAAACACGATTGATTCTCCATTGTTTTACTTAAAATACTTTTACACTATTTAAAAAAAACTTACCGTACCAAATCAAGAGCCATAAATTATTGTTCTTTATTCACGGAGCTGGGTAACCTGTGCTTAACATCCATCATATCCAATCCTAAAGAGGTTTAAATATTTATGCCATTATTTTTTATTAGAGGTGAACCAATACATCGTTTCCCTTTAGATGTCTACCAGATACATCATATCACCTACTGATAATTATTTCATTACTAACCGATCCTATAATTTAATATTTTTCCCGGCATACTTGTCCAAAATTTGATTTTTTCTAAAAAATTACAAATTCGGAAACTTTAAAAGAAAATAAATAAATAGGATTTTTTAAAAATCATTAAAAATGTCGCAAATATATTTCTGAAAAATTTTTAAAAATTTAACATAATCATTTTTATTAAAAAAATTTTGAAAGTATTGAAGCCCTTCGAATTTTTAAAACATAATATATTTCTAATATACCATTTACCAATTTTATAGCAAGTAATTTGAAATAAACCTACAATTTAATATTAAAAAAATTGCCATTTCATTTAAATTTTTTTTATATAACCCAATATTTACATAGCTTCATAAATTTGTACGCCTTTTTTGGATATAATAGGATCGGTTAATTTAAAAATATTTGCCAACGTTAAAATTTATGTAATCCTTATTTATTTTTTTTTGCCTAAAGAAATTCGATTTGAGATAAAATTTATAAGTACAATTTTTATTATTTTTTTACATCAGAAAGTTAGCGCGAATATTCTATTTTTTCTTTATTTTGATATTATATAATGGCTCAAATCAATTTTAAGATACCATTATCTGTGGTCCATGTTGTTATCCCACTTGTTTTATAAAAAATATTTAAAGTATAATAAAGAAAAATGATCAATGACCATGATATTGTTAAAAAATAAATAGGTTTTAATTAGAAAATATATTGTTAATTTTTCATAACCTTGAGGAGAAAGATGAAAATCTGAGTTATAAGTAGTTTATATTATCTAATCTTTATATAGGGTTGACTACCATACCACAGAAAGCATACGACAATTTTTTAAATAAAATATTATTTTATTTTTCCCATTTAAAAAAAAGCATAACAAATATTAGCAAACTATATTTGTATTAAAAATATTGTACCAAAGCCCAAAAGCCTACCAATGTTCCCTGGCTTTAGGCTATATTCACATCTCTTACCATCTTTGTGTTAAAATATTATATTTACATGCTTTTTAAAAATAATTAATATGGAATATCAACATGAGTTCGGAACTTTCGGACTATCCCAAAGAGAAGCGGAATGGTTGTTACATCATTCCATCCCTTCTGGGATCTGGAATTTTCCAACCTATTTATCAACTAGGTAATTATAATTGAGGATAAAATATGAGTATATCGTGAGTGAAATATAATTAAAGTGGTAGGGTTAACTAAAGATTGAAATGGGTATTTTCTTATGTCATTTTTTATTACATTGTTAAATATCTATTTTTTGAATTATCGTTTGATTTTTTTGAGGTAATCAACTCTGTTATGATTAGTGTTGTAAATTCCTTAACTCGAGACGACTACGAACTGATTTTTGCAATACTACCTATATTATTGTTATCCAGTATTATTAAGATAATGTTTTATCAATAATTCAATAACGATCTTAGAAATAATTACCATTTTATTTTAATATGTAAATATTATTTAAATAATAAAATTAATAGGGATTTGGCATTTTAGAAATTGTAGATCTGTTACTAAACTGCGTCACTCATTCTGACAACGAAGTAATTATTTATTAACTATATATTGTTGTTTATTTCTAAAGAAAATTATTTCATATAACATGTAATCCAATTCAAATTAAGGAATACCACCTAGCTAATTTTATTAATATTAAAATACATTTTGCAATTCACGTAGTATCTAGCGTCTTTGTGCTATCTGCGTCTTTAAGGTGTTGAGATATTGATAAACCTCAATATCCCATATTTATCGTAAAAAGTTAGGAAGCCTGATGGATAAAATTATTATTTATTTCATTGGTTATTGTTAATAATATGTTTAATGATTAATTTATATAAATTGATAATATTATTCTATACCCTTTAAGTATTATTTTGTATTAATGTAGTATGTTTTTCAAATGTATATATATAGTTGAACCATAGGGTTGGCAGATTTAAATCAATTTGTTTTAAATTGCGATTTAAATCACCCCTTTTTTTTAAAATGATTGATAAATCAAAATGTAAAATGGTGAAAGATAAGACTAAGATAAGCAAAATCTAAATTAAATAACCAAATTGCACTAGTAATCGCCACTTGTTAGACTTCATCTATTTCAATTTTTGACATAGTAGAAAAATAACTGGTGATCCTATCGCAATAGTGAAAATTTATAAAATTAAGAAAAAACTTATATTAAAAATCACAATCGTCGACACCACATTGTTACTAGAATTTAATTTCTTAAATAAAAAAACTAATTTTCCTACCTTTTCTGTTCCAAACCGATTCCTAAGCTTTGAGTGAGCAACTCCAATCGAGGAGAATACTCTCTCGACTGAAGCGGATGATGAAGATGCAGTAAATAGTTTTATTATTTTTGAATATTTACAACCTCCTCAATTTCCTTGGGCCACCCACCATTCAGTTGGGTCTACTTTATTTACTGGATTATCCCAAAACATAATTTTAGTAAATGTCTCTGATCTTGCTTGAAACTATACCATGATAGATAAAATGTCAGTGTGATAGAGTAGCCACCCGTATTTCATTGCTGTTTCCATTTCATTGGTTGTTAAATTTAACGATATTTCTGGTTTAAAAGGTAGGATAAAAAGTATGCAGAAGTTAAAGCTTGATTATATCGTTTAGCAAAGGAAGAAATCTGATTACTACTTATTATTTTTTTTATTACATATAAGATGGTGAAAAACTATTGCAAATTCTTCTAAGGAGTTTTAAATTGGGCAAATTCTTAACCGATTGAGAAATAGCAATGGCTAATTTTAGTTTGAAGAAATTAAATTTTATTTTGCATTTTTATTTAAATCAGAAATTTTAAAATTAATTAATTTTAGCAAACAATCCCTTGAGCATTAGTCCTTTACTTGCCAGATAATATTAGACTGAAATTTATAAAAAGATATTTTACAATCTTGGTCAATAGTTTAACTAAAATTTGAAATAATTTTTCAAAAAAATCGCAATTTAAATTAAAAAAATGGATTTTTTTAAAAATAACGATTTTTCAACTCTAATGAACCATGATAAATAAGATATCATTTTTGTTCAATAAAATTAACTTCTTGGTTTGAAATTTATTCGTATGAAAACAACTTTTTAATACAGGCACATCTTACCTAAGATATAACGTCCAAAAGAGGAACTCATTCTTAATAAAAAAAGTCCGGAAAGGCCTAATAATTTTTTATAATGATATCTTAGATATTTATTACATATTAGAAAAAGTTGGGATGAAACGAACATCGACGTGCCACGTCGCAAAATTAGAATAGCAAAATATCGCGAAACTATAGCATAGCTATATAATTTAACATATATTTTATAAATACGCATCGCTTGAGCTATACACGAGGCCTTAGTTTCGCTCCATACGGAATATAAAAACAGAAAAGTCGTTTGATTTTCTCTACTTGGCAGAACACGATTCTTTATATAACGTTTCCAAATCGCGCCATATTTTGCATATTTTTTTTTGAAAAACTTTAATTTTTAGGTTTTTTTGTTATAATTCTCGTCTATCTTCCCTTCCCGCTAGCAAGGTAGGCTATAATTTTATATTGTATATTTTTTTAATATACATAAGGTATCAGAAATAACATTTAATTTTTGGTACAATTTTGCCGAATGCCTGTACAACAACACCAGTGTTACAAAGGACGAAGCAAAATTGGCCCTCTTCAAACCATACGTTAATAAACTCTTGCAAAATCTCTTCAATAAAATCACCCTTGATAGCGACTACGTAAAAAATAATTAAAAAAAATATATTTACTCCTACATTAGGGACAGTGGCATAGCTAGATTTTTAAATTTGGGTAATTTTTATGAGCAAAACCTAAAAAAATTCAAGAATTTTTAGGGGTTTTCCAAAGGTTCAGAGATTTTGAGTCCCTCTACGTCCACTAAGGACCTACTAACATGGGGTTATGTGGAGCCAGTAGCTTCTATCATTTTTATCAATGGGACTATTTTAATTTTTATTGTAATATTGTTTGTTTTTTAATATTAATTTCAATAAAATTTATATTTTAATATTTAACTAATCAAATCTCTGATATGATTATAAATTTTATCAGGCTATAGCTAGATATTTTGCCAACCTTTGTAAATAAAGCTATTTTTCTAAAACTCATCCATGTTGTATATCTAAAAATATATTAAGATCTTTTATATAAAATTCATACAGAAGGGTTGCCCATTCTTTATGCTTATAGAGTTTTTAGGGTGACTACATTTTCTTTAATATTTGTAAGAATATAATTGAATGTTTTCACATGCATATGGAACGTCTGACTAAATTTATCGGGATAAGAAGGGATAGTATTTTTAGAATGAAAATATATAGTTCTAATTATCATATACCTGCCTTCCAAAAATCTTTGCTTTTTCTACGTTCAATCATAAAAAATCATTCGCATCAAACATTTTGAACATTTAAAATGGAGGATTTAATAATAAAATTTAATGAAAGATTCGGGACATGTTTCAATCTCTCAAAACTCACTAAAGTTATTTAATTCTTAAAGTTTTTCAGAAGTAATTTTTATATTTAGGACATAGCCTAATTAAGATCATACAACCTATCCATTTCTTTCCATTTCATCATACTTGCTGCTCTAAACTTTAAGTAGATATTACAATTCAGAAATATCTATTGTCTGATATTTACCATGAGATCATTTTCATTTGACATTTTTCTCGCAAAAATTTTACAAATTACCAAATTTTAATGATAAAATCATTAAAGTTTCACAATTCGTAAAACTTTTAAGAATCTCAAAATATTCTTGAATTAGAAAAATTCATTTAGGCCAATATTTTAACATTAAAAAATGGCTTGTATTTTTTTTCCCGTTAGATTCGCGTAATTTCTGAGATTATTTTTTTAAATATATATTTAACAACATAGTCTAAAGAAAGTATAATTCAATCCCGGTCTATCAAATTTTTTTTTAATTCAGTAAAATAAATTATAATATGGTATTTTACTTTTTTTTTGACCTCTCCCATGTACACCTTCAAAAATACGAATCAAATATATACATTATTCATATTCGATTCGTATAATTCCTTGTTCGTATTCTTACGAATAATAAAGACAGAATTTGATTCGATTCGAAGAAATTCCTTCAAAATATTTTCAAAATGAAAAATTATGTTAATACAACAATTTAAAAAAGTGATTTGAAGATATGGTAAAATATAAAAATTTACGCAAGTAAAATGTTAAATACTGAAAGAATACGAAATTCATAAAATAAGAATCAAATTGAATATCAAATTACATTTTAGGTTCAGCCCCATGAAGGTTTCTGGCATCTGCTTCTTCTATTCATTAAATAAATTTTTTAGAATATCAGTGCCATTGTTCAATTATGGAATTGGAAACAATATTTTTTTCTTTCATTTTTTTCCTAAAGAAAGACGAAAGACAAAATATATTAATATTTATTTACATGATTAAAAAGGATGGTATACCCGATCATCATGACGATATAGGCGAGTACAGGATTAGGATATACGAATTGATACAGGATTTAGCGTTTGCCTCTGACCCAATCTCCATAATTAATCAAGTTTTTTTCCCCCATTTAATTATTTTAAAAAAAGATAATGTACCTTTTGCTATTTTGGATTTCAAAAATTTCATTTATAAATAGAAATATACTAACTAAGAATTAAGTCAAAATTCTAATTGTTGATTCCATAATAAAAAAATTGTCAATTTTTAAATTGTTAATATTACTTTCGAAAAAATAAATATTTTTAAATTTCATCTATAATTATCGCGATCAAGATGGTTACTTACATTAGAGAACAATTATCGCCACTTCAAAATTTTAATCACGCTTTTACTAACCACATAGCCTCCGTCAATAATTGGCCCACTTTGGAAGCCGCATTTTTCTTGATATCAGCACTGATGAAAGAATTATTATCAAAGTAAAAAATTTAGCTGTTATTTAAGTCTTTTTTTTATCAGTAATTTCATATGCCTATTTTAATTTCACTTTAATCAATTTTATGAGCGTGATTTTAAAAACCATCTGGTTAGCAAATGTATATTTTAAACATAAAGTCATATTTAAAATTATTTTTATGTGTTTTTTTTAATGTGTAAGGGGCGGGGGTAGTGTTATGAAATCGCTCCTTTTAAGATTGAATCGACTACAAAAATAGTTAAACCATGTTAGCCAAAAACAGCAACCTCAGCTTGGAAGGTTTAGCCTAGAGAATGGCTCAATGTCAAGGAATGACAATGAATATCAATTTACGCTTCCAGTCAGGTATGCAGCGGGAGGGAGCAAGAGACAAATCTCACCCCCTCCCCAAAGCCAAAACATTCAGAGGCTGATTAAAATATTTTTTCAAAAAAATTACTTTTATTTATCACATTCACAACAGAAATAAATACACTACTAATTAATTCTATGAATTATTATCGATTCAAATTTTACTTAGCGTTATATTTATCAGCCATTTAAAAATTTTCCACCAAATCATTTGTGTCCATTTCACTGCAAAACTGAAGTAAAATATTCCAAAAAATTTGATTGAGATCATTAGAATAATATTGGAACTTAAGGAAATTATGACAAATGATGATGAATTAAATAAATTATATTTCGCTGTTGAATCAAAATCAGAACTCTATGAATTTAATATTTGTCTGCCCCGACTCGCAGTAAGGCAAGCCCATCGTTCCAATATTAATATAGAATCAATCAAATAATATTATTGGAAAATTTTATGACTCAAACTAATGAAAGATTCTTTATCAGTCAGCAAATACAAATCTGTAAATATTACCGGAATCCTTCAGAATCATTTCAAATCTTGATAGAAAAAATTAATATTTGACAGATGTTTGAGCATGTTAAAGTATCTAATGATGAATTTCTAGCTAAGTGCAGAATGGTTGTTAATGTTCCAAAAAATCTATAGATGCTTTGCATAATTTCAAACATAAGACTATTTCCTAATATATAAAAAAATTTATAATTTTGGCATCTCTGTCCATTAGTACTTCTACCAATGAAATAACATTTTCTTTAACCAGAATAAAAACATACCCGAGAAGTAGTATTGTTAAATTGCTCGTTGAAAAGGTTTTTAATAACTGCTGACTAAATATTTTCGTCAGGAAAAAAATGTCTTAGCCTCGAGATTTCGCTAATAGATGTCTGAACCTTTTTGCCTTCTATGAGCAAAATCTTCAGCGCGTAATATTTTTCTGGGTGAAATATTTAGTTAGGCCTTTTTATTGAGACGTTTAACAATACTAATGATTGGTACTACCTATGGAAAAATATTAAACATAAAGAGTTGACACCAAGAACTGTTGAAATAATTAAAAAAATTAGTTCAATCCTAAATTAAATTGAATTTTATATTATAAATTTATAATATGTTTCTTATTAATTATATTTTTCCCATTTTTAATAAACCATATTTTCTCCATGAGTATTTGTAAGTTTAAACATGCAATAATTAGTAATATTTTTGTGATTTAATCTATATTTCCAATAATTTTTTTTTTCAAAAATATAATTTTAATTTACATATCACATATTAAATCCTTAAAATTATTTTTTTACAACGTTCTATTTCGAGACATTTATTTTATAAGATTAATACACCTATTGTATACATTTAATATTTTGTAATAAATTTATATTTGAATTTGTGTATTAGAAATTGACAATATTTTATAGTCATTAGTCCTAATAAATTTCTGAAAATTAAGATATTCTTAAATTATTCCTAGAATAATTCTTAAATTTTTTTAAAATTATCTCCCCCCTCCTTAGTGAATCCCTGAATATGCCCCAGCACGCTTCAATTCAGTTGATTTTCTTGGTAGGTGGCTTTAGATTGATCCAATTTGTAACCGATTTATCGACAATATCTACTGTGACAGGCATCAGTCCGGCTCCGGGCCGGCTGTGACAACATCATAAAATATAGGCCCGGTTGGTACCCCAAAATTGTTGGTGTATTATTCCTTTCCTTTTATAAAATTTTTTATTTTATAACTATCAATTAATTTAATAATTTTTGTAACATATAATCAAAATTTTATGTAATTTTAATTTAAAATTCATTACTAAACCTTAAAATTTATTTAGTAAAAGTTGATTATGAAAAAAGTGAAAATTACATTCTTAAGTGTTAACTTATATAGACCTTAAAATTTAATGAAAAAATAATAAATTTTATCAATTAATAACATCTTTCGAAATCAAATTCTTAATAATAAAATAAATACCCTCACAATGATAATTTAGAAATCTTCCTAACTACCTCCTCAATAATGTCTAGAATAATAAAATACCGGTCATTAAGCCGGTGAAAAATATTTTATACAAAAAGATTTGTACATTTTATAAAAACGATGCACTTAACTTAAAAAAGATGTATACTTTTTAAATTCCACACTTCCTATTCTTCCTTTTTGCCTGATTGAATTTAACAATTATTAAATTAGTTTTAAGAAAATATAAAAAAACTTAAATTAATCATTTTCTTTATATATTTTGTAATAAATAGAATAAAATTATCAAATTTTTAAATTGATATTCTAATTTAATGCTAGGAAAAATATTTTTTTTTAAGTTTTAGATTTCTTCTTTATTAACTTTTTAAAAAGGCCGCATGGGCTGGGTCTATATTTAAATTGCTACTCAGCAGGCAGTTATGAAGTATATATATTAATTCTGAATCCGCAAATAATCGTAACTCTTCCATTTAAGATTGAAGAAAAAGAATCATATTCCAAATAACATCGATACAATTAGTAGCGAATCAGACCTTTCAATTATTAGCATGTCCACTTCGATACAGAATTTACTTAAACAAATTTGCGATATCCTAAAAGACGACATTTTACCTAAACTCTACGCCTTAATTTACCCTCCGGCATTCGTAAATACGTGTGTTGAATTAATTTCCGACATGTCCGAATGGTTGGCTTACAGTCCCGATTATTTAGGTTTATAAATAAACGATATTCAACTCTTTAGTGGTAATTACCAAAGTTTTAAGTAAAATTTGAAATATCTTTTTTGTTTTAAAAGTAAAACAACCACCATTTCTGAAAAAAGAAGTTGAAATATTAATTCCTGCCAATTTACATATATTAAAATTTATTTGTTAAAATCCTAGACTCTTCCCTGAACTTCCTGTTTGCCATACTGATTGTTTCCCCTACCAAAGATGCCCTGAAATTATCTTGCTTACGAGCCGTGACCAATATATGTGGCCATGCCTCTAAAAACACCGGTTCCCAATCTCTCCTCATTACCAAATATTTGCCCAATCTTCTAATCCTTTCGGAAAGTCAAAATGGAACCCTGGATGCCACCTCGAGTAGTAACCTTGTCCTTAAAAATTCGATTGACGATGAAGCTGCCAAGCTTAGAAACGTTTCTCTAAACCACGCTTGTAGGCAGGAATTAATTAAAGGTTTTTATAAATGATCTTTTTTATGATGGATTGATTAACGGTGATAACGTCATCTTTAATCTTCTTGCCAACGAAAGGGCAGTCTAGCATTGACCTGAATAGCATCAGGTCTAAGGTTGAGTGGTCCCGAGTGCTCCAAACTAGTACAAACTACTCGTCAACCGTTCCGGTTTAAGTCCACTGATTCCATTAGGACCGGACCAAGATTTTTACTACTAAGGGGCTTTCTCTTTTAAGGATGATTATTTTTGTCAATCTTCTTTGAACATCGAGGTACCTTTTTAGAGTAGCCTAAAAATAACCCTTAATTGATCACCTTAAGTTTTCTTAATATAATTTGATTTTTCAAATATCATTATTTATATCTGTACATTCTTTATTAAAGCAATATGCATCATATTGCCATACCTAAAAGATCAAACTTCAATAACGCAGTGTCTGAGCGTGATTTGCGAAAAATTGATACAAGGCTTACTCCATGTTAGTAAATGACTTTTTTAATAAACATTTTATTTTAAATATTATCCGCTATATTTTTTAAGATTTGGCATGAGACAAACTTGGTTTAATTTTTTTGTTACTCATTGCAAACACTCCTCTTATTTTATCAATTGAGCTATTATTAATATCATAAATTGAATTAAACAAGTATGTTGTCTTCTTTAATTGGTCCCTATATAATATCATTTATAAATAATACCTATTTCTATTCTCTTTAGAAAAAAGCTATATAAACCTGATTAGAAATATATATGCATGATTAATATAATATACATATATTTATTTGTGATTAATGAATATAATGTACATATATTTATTGATATTTATTTACCAAATAAAATGCTATTTTCTAAATGAATTCTTAAAAATAATTAAATTTTAAAAATTAATAGTCATTTTAAAAAAAATAAAATTAAATATTTTTTTGAATAATATAAAACAAACATAAAAAATGGAAATGTATTTATACCCCATCTGATAATATCTTCTTCAAAAGGCCCATATTGGCCACCAGTATTGGAATTATTACTAGAATGTTAAACGGCTCGATATTTCAAAACGCTAACCCAATATTTTAGACATAAATATTACGCAAACCTTGAGATTTTGCTCCTAGATGGCAGAAAGGTTTGGGAATCGATTAACAAAATATCGATACTTGCGTAAGATTATTTTAAAGTAAATAATAATTTAAAATCAGCAAAATCGAGCTAACAACACTAATTTCCAGTTTAGTTTTTATTACATACTAACTAAAATATTGATCTAATGATAATATAAATTAATTAAAATATAATAGGAAATCAACTCTAAAAGCATGGATAGTGATTGCGACCCTTCACCCTGGCTAGATCAAATATCATCGCTTTTCAAGTATAATGCACACCTTTCCTCTAACACCATTCAATTTATCATTACCATTTTTCTTAAATTAATACAAATTGCTGCTAGGCATGCTAATGAGAGCACGTCTTAGCCCTATTGAAACCTCACTAATATTATAATAATTTTTAAATGATTCAAAAACATTGTATTATTCTATATTTATAGACACAAATAAAAATAATTTTCTAATTAATTTTCTGAAAAGGCCGTTTACAATTTACAAATCTTCCACCATACCTAGCATTCTAACTCCAATGATAGGCAAAGTATCTTATTATTTAAAAAAAATAATGGAATTATTTTAAATTTTGTTACAACTTCTACACGAACTTGATTGTATCAAATCGTTTGTGAAAGATAAAAATTTAGGATAGGCCAAATTTTCTTATTTCATTTAAAATTTATTTAATTGAATAATTATTTGTTAGGGTGAAAATTTATTTTTAAAAAAAAAAATTAAATTTAAAAAGAGAAAAAGAAATATATTGTGTATCTAATTTTTGCTTTATCCAGATCTGGCCAGTTCTAAATCAACTCTTCTTAGCTTTTCAAAATTGCGAGCACAAAACCGAAAAAATTTGCCGAACAATAAAACACATATTTAGGGCTGTTGGAAGGGAAGGAAGTTCCTTTATACTGCCTCAACTCGTTGGAACGGTAAACCCTATTTTAAAATACTTTTATAGAGGTAATGTGAGACTTAATCACTATATAGGATAATACTCACTATCTCCTTTGCCAATGGCTAGTAACATAATTTAATATTCTTTACAATATATGTTAATTTAAAACATTATACGTGACAAACCAGTTGATTTTTTTTAAAATTTAATAGCCCTCACCTCAACTTTATAAATGTATTTGATTTGATTTATAGCCTGTTTAAAATTTTTTATTAAGATGTGGAGAGGGGAGGGGTAAATGATTATTTTAATTGGAAATTTAAGAATTCTGCCCAAAAGAAAATGCCAACCTGTTCCAATATGATTTTGGCAGACTCGGAACATTATCCATATATTACTCGAATTATAACAATTCTTATATAATTTGTAACAATAACATTTTTTAAACAATATTTTATTTTATATATTCCTTATTTAAAAAAAATATAGATCTTAAATCTGTACCAAACCAAACATCACTCCTCATACCTTTATTTGGGAAGCGTTATCGTGGAAGAATTTTATCCTGATACAAATTACAAATCTGGACTTATTCAAATGTTTGAGGTTATATCCATGAAGAAATTTAAAAAAATATATAATTTTAGTATAAGCTTTATAACTGTAAATTCTGACATGACAACCCCTGGGATTGTTTTTTTTTACTGATTTTAATAAGGATCTTCACCATTCTCGCTCAATCAACCTAACCTAGATCTAGGCTCACACTAAAATTATCTTGCTAAATTTTATTAAGCTGATCAAAGTTTCATTGTTGATTTATTATAAACAAAGGCATCATTTTAGATTCAAATTTATTTATTCCTATCAATATTATTATAACATTTTTCTCCCCAGAATTTCACCCTCCACACCATAACATATATTTGTGACAAAGTATTCATGACGGACGTCTCAAATACCCATAACTCTCCTTCTCAAAAAATCTTGCAATTGCCTCAAGAATATATGGAATATTGGAACAAACTAGAACAGCCCGAAACTATATTATCGGCATTGAAACAGATTCCGGATAATATCGAAGATTACTTTAGGCTATGTCAAAAGTATATATTGTTTTAAATGAAATATTTACTTGACCTTGTTTCGAAAACTAGGGCTAGGAAAAACAAATATCTCAAGTTTTTTTGAATTATTTAAAGAAATTTTTAAATTATCATTTTATCTAGGATTTTCTTTTTAATAACTATCCTAAAATGGGCCCCTTACTGAGATGATCATCATGTATGGTGTACCTTTATTACATATTTTACCATGCTGCACAAAATATAAAATTTTGTTATAAACCTTTCCTCGAAAAAAATTTTCTATAATTTTATTCAATTATGTATTTTTTTAAAAAATACTCATATAACAGATTTGTTAAATACCTGACCTTACCTTTCCTCAAGAATCAATATTTTCCTCACGTATTCAAAATTTTCATATCCTCTTGTTATTTGGATCACAGAGAGGCTCATTCAGCTTCTATGCTTTTTCTGTGCGATTTCATTAGCGTTTGTTCATCTGATTCTCAAGTTTCTATATATTTTTATTTTTCAAAATTTGGTTATTGGTGGGTTTAAATAAGCATGATGATACGATGGCTGGTTTATTAAAGTTGTATAATACGCCCCATTTTTTATTCTAAATCGTCCATATTGTAGGTGGCTTACAATACCAATAAAATGCTCTTATATTTAAGGAAGAGAATTATAGATTTTGATGATATAGGAATAAATTGTTTGTAATACACTGTTTAATAAATAAGCAGAGAAGATGGTAATTTACAAATCGGGTAGTATCGGGTAGTGCAAAAATTTCAGTGGTGTTAAGAAGGAAATGTAATAGGTGTATTGTGAAAAATATGAAATTTACCGGGATTGGCAGGGGAGTTTATTGGGCAGCAGCGTTTAGTTATAAGCGACCTTATCTTTAAAAGCATAAGGATCATTAGTAGAAAGTTCTTAGGCTAGATTTGAAGGAAGAGAGTGCTAGATATAAATTTAATAGGAAATTGATGATAAATGAGTATGAGGCTCCACAAATTTGGTAGCTACGAGAACCTTCTAGGCACTAGAAAGCATGATGGTGGAATTCAGAGGCAGGTAAAGCTGTGAACGAGAAACGGAGATGTTACAAAAGATGGCATGATAGTAAAGAGGATGATGGAGAGATATTCAAGGATAAGTTAAATACCAAGAAATTAGCAAAGGCTCAAGATGATAAAAAGCAAGGGTTTATAAAAGTATTATAGTGTATGGAAAGAAGAAATATCTTCCTGATTGCAAAGCAGGTGGCTAAAAAAGACAGAGGTAGTCTGAAAAATATAGAAGGAAAAACGATGATTGATATTAATTATGAATATCCTGAAGCATAAAAATAATTTATTGAATAAAGAGAATGAATGGACTTATGGAGTTAACAGTGCAAAGATAGATGGTCCTGGCAGGTTAGACAAAGAATAAATTAAGAAGAGTTGAAGATAAAAAATAAAAAGCAGTGAACTTAACAAGGAGTGGTAATAGAAATTTTTAAGGGGTTTGAAGACTTGGTGGGAGTTGACTGGCCTACGAATTTAGGCAATCTATGAAATTTTGGGAGAGGCACAGCCAGTGGCGTAGCTGCGGGGGTGGTTTTTGGGTTTGGACCCCTCCCAGAGCAAATTTTTTTTTAGATTATGCGGTCAAAAGACTTAAAAGTGATTTTATATCAATTATATTACTATTGAAATTATTCTGGATAGTATTATTATAAAGTCATTGAGAATAATCTACTAAATTATAATAACATATTATTGATGCATTTAAAAAATATATTTATTATATATTATCGGGCAAAAGGGCCGAAGGCTCGTTAAAGGGGGTCTGGGGGGCGAAGCCCCCAGCTTTTATATATATGGACCCCCTCTAAGGAAAAAAGGAGATGAAGGAGAAAAAAACAAGCAAGGACTGAGAGTGATGATTGAAATAGAAACGAATAGAGCATGAGAAAAAATTAACTGTGGTAGTTTGCGCATGTTGAACTAAACACAAAATATTATTGAGTAAAGAAGCACAAGGAATAATAAAGGCCTCAAAGATAACTTAAGACGATCTAGATGAAAGTGATAATGGATGACATAAATAAACTAGCAATGTCCAGGACTGTTCAAATGGAGAAAGGGGGACAGAGGCAAACTGGCTTACCCGGGTAAGCGTTAAATCTACTACAAAGAAGAAACATTTAAAAAAATATATTTTATTGGTTCATATTAGTATTAGTTTTAATGATTACCCCTGTACTTGAAAAGAATAAAAATCATTATTATAAAAATTCTTGATTTTGTTTTAAAATGATCATCCTCATTTTTAAAAAAGATATAAGATGAATGATTGCCAATGTTCATTAGAAACATTATCAGAGTCAGCATCATTCAAATTTTGATTCTCATATTTGAATTCAATCACGATATTCTAAATAAATAATTGATATGAATGTATTTTTATAGGAATTAAAATATTGCTATCACAGATGCTCAACTTATATAATAAATATAGATAAGATATCGAGATATTATTTGCTTTAATATATTTTTTAGTAAATTAAAAACAAAAATATATCACTTGGTAAATTAAACATTAGGAACTATTTTTAGCGTTATCCACGAAATAGAGCCAAAAATTTACAATAAATCTAAAAATAAATATATCTATATTTTATAATTTTTATATAATATAGGTATTGCTTTTAAACTAATATATTATTACTATTGGATTAATTAATCAGCCATTGGTATTGACACTTGGGTGGTATTGGTTTTAAGGACCAATGCAATATCTGATTTTATGTTAGATTGTATTGGTATTGTAAACCAAAAAAATATTGGTATTATTATTGTGGCATTAATATGTGCAAGCTTAATGTTTCTTACTGGGATTATTAATTATAATTTATATAGGGTTTATAATCTTATTAAGATGAGCACTTGTCTATTTCGGGGTTTAAAATAAGTGCCCTGATAATAGGTACAAGAGTTATATTTGAATACACAGGACAACTCCGACAATCAACATGAAAAGAAACGATTTTTGGATACCTTACTCAATGAAAAAGGTCAAACTATAATCGATTCCCTAATCAAAGCGATAGTCTTTAATTTATCTTCTCAATTGTACCCAGAAGTTGCTGATGTTATTTACGAATTAATGGTCTACAATAAAAGGGTTTATTATTTATACTTTGCAAATCTTTAATTTCAAAAAATATTAATTTTTTTGAGTCTATGATTTTTTTGCCAAAAGTGACTTATTTATATATAAACTTGAATATTAATAGTTATAACTTTAAATAATAATACCCTATAATTACAATATAATCCTAAACCACTTATAATGTTTTGATTATAAAATTTTTTCACGTAATTCAATTTTATAATTACTCATGAATGACATCATTTATTTATTTATTATAATTATGATATAAAATAAAAATTTATCAAAATCGAAAGAACGTTACATATTGGATTGACAGCACCCTTCACGATATACAACAACAACGGCAGAACTTGCTTAATTCTTCTCAACTATCAGCTTCCCTTTCTCCCGAATCATCTCTCCTGTCCGAACAATGCCTTAACGAATTTCGCTTGAGCATTCTTAAGTTTATCATTAATTGCTAATTAATATTTTTAGAATTTTAGTGATAGTGTTTGATAGATAATTTTATTTAAATATTAAATTTTAATAAATGTAGATGGAAGTTTTCTTGAAATTTTTTATGCAGATAAAAGTAAAATTTATTTAAATAAAGGTTACAATGAAACTATAATGACCACCATATTTTTACCATCTTTATGCTAATAATCATCTATAATATCAACCTCTATATAATCGTATAATGAACTCCTACTTTATGAGAATTTATTTAATAATTATAATATAGCGTTTAAAACGAACATTACACATTTTATTTATTCCCCTATAGCTACTTAAGAGTCATTTTTGTTCACCTCGATTTTATTATTGAGTAAAAAAATGTACATAATTTAAAGCCAAAAAATAACTTATTTTTCATCAATTTTCTGAATTTTTAGTTTGACATTTTTTATAAATAAAATAAAATTTATTTAATACCAGTGCGACACAAGAAAAACATATAACTAGAGCTTTCAGGGAGCTTGCTCAAATTTTCAAATGATTTGCTAATCCTATCTATCTAGAATCTTCTTTGATGCAGGGAAAAATATTAATGTACATATATAATTTAATTATACATACAACTTCTATATATTTATATAATTATTTTTATGGATTGTATTATTAAAGTGATTTATACAATAAATTGTCTTTTCTTTTTATTTGATATTATTAAATAATTTACACTATCTTTATTCAATTTTAAAATTTGCATATTAAAAAATATGCTGTCTTTTAATTATTTCTTTCTATATAATTATCAGAGACATACAGGCTCTAATCCCGGCCTGGAATGGTCTTAAAAATAATATGACTTTAAAAATCAGGTCCGGTGTTCTGTGATATTTTAGGTTACGTTTAAATTGACTCTTTATATTAATACTAACATTTATGATTGACGATAATATATTCTTACAAATTATTAAAATTTTAGTAATTCGGACAGTTATGAATGACATGAATTTTATAATTTCTATTAATTAGTAATATTGACATTTATGAGTGGCCGATAATGTTAAAAGTCATTAAATTGAAATTTTTAATAATATTTAAACCTTTTTATTTTCAACATTCTATACGGAAATTTTCGTAATTATTTTATTTAATATTAAATCTTCTAATTATTTTTATAGATAATAAATTTATGGCTAATATTGAGCATAAATTTTAAATTAGCAGGTTAATTAATATATTTTAGATTCAAATTATTCACAAATTTTAGAGACCTGAAATTTTATGCTTCATCACAATAATTTTATTATTGAATAATTCAATAAATTATGATATCTTATATAGATAATTATGAAATAATTATATATTTTAATCTCTACATTTAAAATCAACAAATGCTGTAAATATGGTTCAAATACTTTTCTAAAATCGTTTACCCTTTAAGATGCTTTTCCTTGTGTCTCTTTAATTTTTAAAAATTTCTCCGATTCATAATTTTCGACAACCTCATTCGGATTATCGTGGATAATGAGTGTATTTCGAAAATTAATAGACTGAATGAGTTAAATTAATTATGTATATGTTGCATTCCATATTAAATCAACCAAAAAAGTCGATTTTTAACCCGACCCCCTTCGATTTTTTAAAAAATTTGTATTTAAGTACATAATCAAAATTCCAAAATACACTATATTTAATTTAAAATATCTCAAAAAGTAATTATGATAAAATCATAATATAAATATTATTAAATAGGTCTATTACCAATTACCGAAAAGGCTATAAAATAAAAATTGCTCATTTTTATTTTAAATTTTTTACAGATTGACATACTTCTTAATATTTGTACAAAAATAATAAAAAACTTTATAAACCTCTATAATAATTATAATAATTTTCAGATCAAGGCAGAATGATATTTTTTGCACTCCTTGCGATAATGTAAGGGGAATTACTAAGAAGTTAGCGGCTAGAGCAATCCTGCAACGTCCTACGGCCAAGAGTTATTACACTTTAAATAGAAGTAGTATGGTTTAAATCCTATACTGTACCAAATATATAGTAATTTATTTTAAAAAAAGTTGGCGATATATATAACTAAAATCCCAAACTCTATGTGGAGTGAAGAGGTTATTGAGTTCACTGCAGTGGTGTAGGGAGAGGGGAGTTTGGGGTTGAACCTCCTCATGATTTCCGAAAACAATTTTTTTCATATATTGCGAATAATTTTATTTATAAAAGCAAATAAAATAATATGTACGATATCAAAATGAAATATATTTTAAAAAACATAAGAATTAAATGATCATATGGTTTAATTTACAAATTATTCGAACTAAAATATTAAATAACATGGAGGGGGGGGGATATAAAGATATATTGTAAATATTTCCTAGCATAGTAGAGCCGATGATGGAGAAAAAATATGATCTGCATATCTCGAAAGATATTTTTGGAAAAACAGTTATTAAACAAATTTATAAAAATTATAATTTATTTTGTATAATTTTTAATTAAAAGAAAAATTGTTTAATTTGGTAAAGATAAACAGCAAACTTTTATTTTCTTTTATCGATTGAGTCTATATTGTTGCTTACATTTGAATGGCAAGAGGATATTAATAAAATCTCAGTTTTACTCGGATGACTTATCAGGATCGTATGATAAGTTACTTTGTGATGTTCGAATTTTAGTATAAAAATCTTGACAGAATAAAGTGCTCTTTGAAACCAAAAAATACTTTGCAGATCTTTTCCATGTAATTGCACTTGAGATTCCCTGGCTAATATTAAAACATTGTTATGTTATTTTAGCTACATTGCCGATTAGTACATACAATAATGAAAGGTTTTTTTCAATTTTGAAAAGGTTAAAAACATATTTAAGAAATAGCACCGGTGAAAACCGTTTTAATGGATTAGCCCTATTATAATTTATAAGGAGATTATTCGCTATAAAAGTTTGATTCTAGATAATTAGCCAAATCTCAGAGAAAAGTATATCTCTCTTTATAAATTCAAATAATAAAATTGCAATATGAATATAATATGTTTACTCATAAAATTTTATATGCGAAACTTAATTATAATATTCTTACTCATAATATTTATATATTTTTTATATTATACGATTTTTAATAAATGTATTGAATTTGCAATAAGATTTATTTATATTTAGATAATATAATAATTTGTATTAATTAAAATTGTTAAATTATATATTTTTAAATACCGTTATGTGCAACAAAAATTAGTGATCTGCATCGGGCCTAATTTTTCAAGCCCGACCCGGCTTGAAATTTTTTTATAAAGTTTTTCCCGGTCCAGCCATAACCCGAAATTTTTTTAAAAAAATTTTATTTTTCCGGCCCGGCCCGAATTTATTTAAATATAGAAATTAATTCTTATAATTACTCAAAATAAACGATATATGTTATATAGAATTCAACATAAAATTGATAAATTTAGATATATTTTAAAAAAAATTTAAGGTCCGACCCGGCCCGGCCCGAATTTTCTTAAAAATTATTAGACCCAGCCCGAAGCCCGTTCAGGATGGGCCGGGTTCGGGCCGGGCCTACTTTTGCAGATCTCTATTACTTATATTCTATAATAAATATATATTTTTTAAATACAGTTATTTACAATGAATTTTTATTATTATAATTTATAAAATTTTACAATTTGAAATTTATTTTATTGTATATTATCATTAAAATAAATACATAGTTAAATTAAAGGATGTTATTTATATTAATATTAAAGAATTATTAAATAAAACTAGAATGAAATTTTCTGTAAAATTTTGTTATATGTAAAAATTTAATTAAATAAATATTTTTAACATAGAATAAGATATATTTAGTTATAAAAAATGGGAGGTTTGGAGGGCAATTTTTTTCCATTTCTATACCGAATGTTGAATAAATTTACAATTGAACACTAAACATTGCTAAAAATTTTCAAAATAATGCTTTCAGTCGCCTATTAATCATAAATTTGGCCAAAATTTTGTAATTAATATTTTTTAATTTGTGCTGGCTACTTAAGTGTTTATTGGCCAATTTTAGAATTATTGCAATTGTTCAGCCAAATTTAACAAAGACGATATAAAGATAACTATCGAAAAATTAATTTTATATAATATTCTTTAGGACCCGGCCAAATGCCAGGGAATTTTAACCCCCCCCCCCCCCCCCCACCACCATCTTATGGATAAATCCTGGCTGCGCCACTGAGTTCAATTTTTAATATCATAGATGCAACTTTATTTTTGTTACAATGTCTTATTCTTAATATTTTAAAAACGCAAAATAATGAATGCGAGAATTAATATTCCAAGGATTAATTATATATTTGTCAGTAGCTTAGAATATTTAAAAATGGAAACCAATCTTGAAAACAGATTTTTAATAGTCAAACGAATTCCCGGGAACAAAAAATATTCATATTCTAATGGAAGGAAAAATGAAAGTCAATTTTTTTTTCTAATTCATTCGATTATTTAATGTATGACATTATTTATTTAATATGTTTATCATATAAATTTCCCATTGATATTCATGTGATATTCATGCAGGCGCGTACGCAGGAATTTGGTCTGGGGGGGATAATAAATTTTTTTAAGAAATAATATTTTTAATTAAAAATACTAAGCATAAATTTATTAGGATTAATAACTTTTCTAATACACAATTTTAAACTAATGTGAATTAAAAAAATTATATATATAAACCGGCATTTAAATGTGAATCATAAAATATAAAGTGAATATAACCCACGATATGAATCACCTAAATGACCCAAAATTGAAATTTGAATTTTTTGAGCTTTTAAAATATATAAAGTATAAAAAATTTAAATGTTGTAAATATAAATTAATACACAAAAGTTTCTTAGGAATAATTGTATTTTGTATGTTTTGAGCTAATTTTTCAATTATCAATCCTTGCTTGGCGTTAAATGTCTATGAATATTCAAAAGATCCAAATCATTCAATCTACTTTCAGATGTTGTATTTCATAGGTATGTTTTTCACAGACTTGCAGGCCCGGCCCTTGAGCCGGACCGTATTTTAATTTTTTTAAATATACTCGGGCCGGGCTCGTAATTTTTTTTTTAAAAACATCCGGGCTGGGCCTGAAAATTTTTAAGAAAAAATATCCGAGCCGAGTTGTATATTTTAAAACCAAATATTTGAAATCGCCATTATTAGCTATAAATATCAAAAATAAATATAATTTATTTTAAAAAATTCGGGCTAAGCCAGCCGGGCCGGGAAATTTTTTTTTAAAAAATACCCGGGCCGGAAAAAATTTTAAAATAAAATCTTGGCCTGGTCCTGCAAATGGTACCTCTGTCTGCAAGGCTCTGTTATTCTTCTTAAAAAAGTGAATGTTCTCTCATTAGTTTACTAAAGAGCTGCTAATATATATATAACCATTTTAATAATTGGGAGTATAATCTAAAATGTGTTTGAAATAAAAAGCATCCATAGCATTTTTTGGGACTGTATCAACCATAGTTAATCTTTTAATCATAGTTATTCAGCTAATAAGGCATCATAAGATATTTTAACATCTTCATGATAAAAATATAACAAATATTTATATTTTTTTCTATCACCATATGAAAAAGGTTGGGAGAGGGGACATTTGTTTTATAATACTCTTCTACTGATCCTATATTAATGTTTTGATGATGAGCTTG